ACCTGAAGCTCACTCCTTCAAACATTTATGTATCCTTTTTATTGTCAATCTCAGGGGTTTATGAAGTTACCTGTGTGTGTGTGCCAGTACCTAGGTACCTGTGTGTGCGTGAGACAGTACCTAGGTACCTGTGTGTGAGTGAGACAGTACCTGGGTACCTGTGTGTGAGTGAGACAGTACCTGGGTGTGAGTGAGACAGTACCTGGGTGTGCGTGAGACAGTACCTGGGTGTGAGTGAGACAGTACCTGGGTGTGAGTGAGACAGTACCTGGGTGTGAGTGAGACAGTACCTGGGTGTGAGTGAGACAGTACCTGGGTGTGAGTGAGACAGTACCTGGGTACCTGTGTGTGAGTGAGACAGTACCTGGGTGTGCGTGAGACAGTACCTGGGTGCGTGAGACAGTACCTGTGTGCGTGAGACAGTACCTGGGTGCGTGAGACAGTACCTGGGTGTGTGAGACAGTACCTGTGTGTGAGTGAGACAGTACCTGGGTGTGTGAGACAGTACCTGGGTGTGAGTGGACAGTACCTGGGTGAGTGAGACAGTACCTGGGTGTGAGAGAGACAGACAGACGGTGGGTGTGTGAGAGTGAGACAGTACCTGAGAAGGGAAGGTGTTGACGAGGCCGGCGGTGAAGACCTGTATCCAGGAGACGCAGGTCGGGAAGACGTGGACCACCTTGGCGCCGTGGACCTCCAGCTCCAGCTGGCCGGCGGAGAGGCTCAGGCCGGGCGGGACCACCACCACCACCTGCACGCACAACCATACGAATTAAAGAAATTAATTCAGATTTAGAAGAACTGTACGGGCTCGCCATAGCCTGTGCTACTGGAACTTATTGTTCTGAGTAGCGAATCTTAAACAACAACAACAGAAGAACTGAGAAATGCCCAGAGACCTGAAAGCTGTAGTATTAAAAGCTATGACAACTTTTGTAATAATAGGTATTTGTATGGTTATCTTCTTATCTAACTCCCAGGTATCTATTTTACTGCTAGGTAACAGGGGAAATAGGGTTAAAGAAACTCTGCCCATTTTTGTTTCCGCCTCCACCGGGCATCGAACCCGGAACCTCGCGAACACGAATCCGAAGTGCTGTCCACTCAGCTGTCAGGTGCCCCTACGCTGGTCAGCACAGTAACCGGACCAGGCAATGTGATGTAGTCACTGCGCGAATTCGCCTTAGCTATAGACACATCTGGCAGGTTAGTGAGGCTGAGCCACTACCAGAATATTCAGATTGTAAACTCTGTGATAAACCTCTAATACATTCACTAGAACATTACAGTGTTGAATGTGAAACCGTAAAAGATTTTAGACCTCCTGGTCTCTTGTACCACCAACTGTGTAACTATTTTATTGACTCAGGTATTCTGGACCTAACGATTTATCCAAAATTTCTTTGTCTATTTTAAAGAATGAAGAACAATTTTATTTATATTACTTCTAAGCTGCACCTCTTATCTAAATTGCAGATATTTTACAGCACATGATGTAAACAATGTATTAACACATAATCACAATATCTCTGTAATCAACTTGAATGTTAGATCCCTAGGTAAACACTTCGATGATGTTAGTGACTTGATTGAAACTATTGACAACAAATTCTCTTTTATTATACTTATTGAAACGTGGTTAAAATAGGATACTACTCAACTCTTTAACATGCCTAACTACTCGGCAATTCACAACTGTCGTCAAATTCAGAGAGGTGGTGGCACTGCTCTTTACTACCACCAACAACTAACATGCTTAAAAGTAATTAGAACTAGAGACTGCTGTGGGGAGTATATCTTCGCCAGTTTCAGAGTCAAGGGTGCCGAGTCTGTCCTGTCTGTGGGTGCAGTTTATAGAATTCCTAACACTGATGTGTCCGAATTCAACTCAAACCTTAGAAATCTAATACTAGATAACAGACTGAACAAAAACCATCTAATTATCGCAGGGGACTTTAATATTGACCTCTGTGAGCCTGAAAACCCTACTACTGCCAACTTCCTCAACTGTATGAATTCCTGCTTCCTCATACCCTTAATCACTAGACCTACTAGAATCACTGATAGTACTGCCACGACTCTAGATCACATCTGGACCAACATAACCTCTCCGCTTACTTCAGGTATAATCATTGATAGCACTACAGACCATTACCCCACATTTCTCTTAACTAACATTAACAAACCACCTCTAGAGACAAGGGAGATAAGCTTTAGGCTGCACAATGAAACTGCTATAAACAATTTTATAACTGCTGCTGATAATGTCAACTGGGAGTCCGAGTTAGGTAACATAGGGGACATTAACCTAGCAGTGCAATCTTTTCTCCAAAAAACTCTTAGCCTTAATAACACCCACTGTCCTATGCTTACAAAACAAGTTACAACCAAAAGGCTTAACAATCCTTGGCTTACAAAGGGAATACTTAAATCCATTAATAAAAAACATGACCTTGAGAAGAAGTATAGGTTAGGAACCGTCTCCAAAGAATTCTCAAAGAATTACTCGTTATTGCTATCTAAGATAATTAGACGAGCCAAAACTAAATACTACGAAGATAAATTTACCAAAATAAAGAGCATTAAAAAAAACTTGGAGCACAATTTCACAAATATTGGATCAAAGAAGATTTTAAATAACAAACCAACACTCCTGTCCAATAACGCTGGTCAGCTTTCAGCCTCAGATTCTGCTATTGAGTTCAATAGGTTCTTCTCTTCCATTGGGTCATCCCTTGCAAATGATATTCCATCTTCCAGTACTGACGTTAAAGACTATCTTACAGGTAGCTATCCACAGTCTCTGTACTTAAAGCCTACTAATTCCACTGATGTTAATGAGATAATCCTTTCCCTTAAAACCAAGTCTAGTGCCCTTGAGGAGATACCAACTTTAATTTACAAAAAGCCTCCAGATCTTTAGCCCCTGCTATTGCATTGCTCTTCAACAAGTCACTTGAACTCCAAACCTTTCCAGATATTCTAAAAAAAAGCGAGAGTAACGCCTGTCCACAAATGTGGTGATCTCACAGATGTTAACAACTACAGACCTATATCAATCCTGCCAAACTTGTCAAAAATATTTGAAAAACTAATCTACAAGCAGCTTTACTATTATCTAGCCAAACACAATTTACTTAGCTATTGTCAAAATGGCTTCAGACCCCAAAAAAAGCACTAACAATTCACTTATTAGTATGATTAACTTGATTCATGCAGCTCTTGATAAAAATGAGTTCCTGTTGGGTTATTTGTGGACCTGCGTAAGGCTTTTGACACTGTCAACCACCAAAACCTTCTTCTTAAATTACATCATTATGGAGTCACAGGACACTCCCTGCAATACCTCAAATCTTACCTTACTGTCAGGTTCCAGTATGTTTCTGTAAATAATTCAATTTCTCCCACCCTACCCATCAACATTGGTGTTCCTCAGGGCAGCATACTTGGCCCTCTCCTCTTTCTCATCTATATTAATGACCTTCCAAATGCCTCCCAACACTTCAAACCAATTCTATTTGCTGACGACACAACCTTCATTTACTCCAGTCCTGACCCCCTTGCTCTAAATGTCACAGTGAATACTGAGCTAAATAAAGTCCATCTTTGGCTAACTACCAACAAACTCACCCTTAACATTGACAAAACTTTCTATATTCTATTTGGCAATAAATCCTCTAATCAAATAAATCTCAAAATAAACAATACCCAAATTTGTAACAAAGTAGATGGCAAATTCCTTGGCGTTCTCATTGACCACAAGCTGAATTTCCAGGGAAACATTCTAAATATATCAAAAAAAGTTTCAAAAACTGTTGGCATTCTTTCTAAGATCAGATATTATGTACCACGCCCTGCCCTGGTTACTCTCTATTACTCCCTCATCTATCCATATCTGAACTATGGTATTTGTGCTTGGGGTTCTACTACCCAAAATCATTTACGTCCTCTAATTACCCAACACAAAGCTGCTATTAGGACAATATCCAACTCTGGCCCCAGACATCACTCGGTACCCTTACTCAAATCTCTGAATATGTTAGATATTAAGTCACTGCACATCCTCTCATGTGTATTATACATATATAAAACGCTGAACTGTAATGCCAATCCTGACCTCAAAAGCTTCATTGAAGGTTGTAACAGAACCCATGAGCACCACACCAGAAATAAATACAGTTTTGATATTCCTAGAGTACGACTTAATCAAACTAGAAATGCTCTACAAATCAAGGGACCCAGAATGTGGAATGACCTTCCCAACCATGTTAAAGACTGTACCTCTCTCAACCAGTTTAAGATAAAAACTAAAAACTACCTAATAAATTCCCTGTAACCTACCTTACCCCTCTATTGTCAACCTGTCAATTGTCAACCCATGTCTGTTATTTTTTTTAATCAACACTGTTTGTCAACCTATTGTATTTGTGCTGCTTTTTCAGTCATGTTTCCCCTTTTTTTTTATCTTTATTTGTATCTGTTCTCAACACATTTTATTCTTTATGCTCAATTAGTATTAAGTTCTAGATATTAATGTTTTTCTTGCCCGAAACGCATTGCGTAATAGTGGCTTTAGGCATTGTATGTACTAGCTCTATCTATATATCGATCCATTAATGTAACATCACTTGTATGTATGTACCTTTCCTGAATAAACATATTTATTATTTATTTTATTTATTTATTTATTCTTCTCATCAGCAAAGTCAACGAAATATCAAAGTCTTACCTGGTCGGTCTCGTTGAAGTTGCAAATGGGGCCCATGACCGTCTTCCAGTTGCAGTAAGGACTGTCCTTAGACACAGTGAGTTGCCCCTCGGTGTCTAGCTCCTCGTCGAAGAGGGTGACGCGTTTCCAATCTTGCGGAGCTGCGGTGGTCAAGGTGTCCCATAGGATCTGTTGAGCTTGTAGAAGAACAGACTGTAGCAGCAAGGTGACCACCGTCGCCCTCATGCCCGTCTTCGCCATCCTCCTGAACCGCAAAGAAAAGGTTTCCTTTTTAGTAGCCTTGACAACTCACTATCACTATGGGCTAAGCTCCGCTCACCCAGACATTGGGGTCTACGGTCCTTCGCGGTGGAGGCTCTACGTCACACCACACTACGAGGCAATGTTTGGTCTGTTACTGGGATGAGAACGAGCTGTTGGTGGTGCTGTGTGTAACTTTGCTTCGGCAGATGTAGAGGAGCGCAAGCAGTGAGAGGGGCACACCTGAAGCTGGTGATGGAGACTGGTGCAGGCGCAGCCTTATCGCCTCCCCCGCTTTTATCAGGCTCCTCCAGCGACGCTGTACCATAATCACATCATAACAACTGATACACAGATAACACACACACACACACACACACACACACACACACACACACACACACACACACACACACACACACACACACACACACACACACACACACACACACACACACACACACACACACACACACACACACACACACACAAGTAGACGGTTGGAACAAGTTAAGTGAGAAGGTGGTGGAGGCCAAGACCGTCAGTAGTTTCAAAGCGTTATATGACAAAGAGTGCTGGGAAGACGGGACACCACGAGCGTAGCTCTCATCCTGTAACTACACTTAGGTAATTACACTTAGGTAATTACACACACACACACACACACACACACTGCCAACTACACCACAGGAGGGCGTGCCCTCTCCCCAAGCAATCCCTGCTCCCTCACCCCCAGGACTTCTTCCTGCCCCAAGCAGGCTTGAGCAAGACCTAAGCCCCCCCATCCCCCACTCCACCTCCCCCTGAACCCCTGGCAACTACCTCACAGGAGGATGAGCCTACCCAAGTAGCAATGACCAGGGAACAACTTCCTACACTTGTGGGGAGTGAGGGTGAAATTGCATATAAGAAAGTGAACTTCAAGGTAATGTAAAAAAAAAATAAAATAAAATGTTTATTTAGGTAAGGTACATACATACAAGAAATTTTTACAAAGATTGGTTGACTTATAGGTAGAGCTAGTACATACAATGCCTAAAGCCACTATTACGCAAAGCGTTTCGGGCAATGTGTACTCAAACATTGATGGGATTACCAATAAAGCAAGTGAACTGGTAGAAAGGGCGCAAGAAGAAAACCCTGATGTAATAGGACTCACGGAAACAAAATTGTCAGGAGTCATAACAGATGCTGTTTCCAAAGGACTACTATATAGTAAGGAAAGAGAGGGAAGGGAGAGGAGGTGGAGGAGTGGCCCTGCTGATAAGGAAGGACTGGAATTTTGATGAGATGGAAATTTCGGGCTGAGACGGATTCAGAGATTACATAACAGGAACTATAACAATGGGTGGACCTAAGATAATAGTGGCAGTCATTTACAACCTACCCCTAAATGACAGAAGACCCAGACAGGAGTTTGATAGAAACAACATGGCAACCAATAATATAATAGAGAGAGCAGCTTCAGTTGCCTGCAGGAATGGCTCAAGACTCTTAATCATGGGCGAATTCAACCATGGAAAGATAGACTTGGAGAATGGGGACCCACATGGTGGTGCAGACACATGGCGAGCTAAACTCTTGGAAGTGGCAACAAGGAACTTTCTGAGTCAACATGTCAAGGAACCCACAAGAGTGAGAGGCAATGATGAACCAGCTAGACCCGACTTGATATTCACCCTGAATGAGTCAGAAGTAAGGGAAGTCAAAGTTGAAGCCCCCATAGGAATGAGTGACCACAGTGTACTGACCTTTGAGTACTTGGTGGAGGTAGGGATAACCTATCCAAGGATGGGATCGGAAGGGAAAAGACTGAATTACCGAAGAGGAAAATATGACGAGATGAGGAACTTCCTCAGGGGAATACCATGGGAAACAGAACTTAGAGACAAGAATGTGCAGAACATGATGGATTTTGTCACCCAGAAGTGCCAGGAAGCTGCAGACAGGTTTATCCCGGTCCAAAAGGAGATAAACGAGAAAACAACAGAAAAACCCATGGTTCAACCAGGAATGCAAGGTAGCGAAGCAACTGAGTAAAAGAACATGGAGAAACTACAGAAATAACAGAACACCAGAGAGCAGGGAGAGATACCAGAGGGCCAGAAATGAGTACCTCAGAGTGAGGAGGGAAGCAGAGACAGTTTGAAAATGACATCGCGAGTAAAGCCAAGACCCAACCAAAGCTGCTCCACAGTCACATCAGGAGGAAAACGGCGGTGAAGGAACAGGTGATGAAATTGAAAAAAGGGGAGAACAGATACACAGAGAATGACAAGGTGTGTGAAGAACTCAACAAGAGATTCCAGGTTTTCACAATAGAACAAGGAGAAGCCCCTGCACTAAATGAGAAGGCAAACCAAGCAACCTTGGAGGAATTTGACCTCACCAGTGATGAGGTCAAAACGTGCCTGCTGGAGCTGGATGTGACAAAGGCTGTTGGGCCTGACAGAATCTCACCATGGATACTAAAGGAAGGTACAGAAGCACTAAGTGTGCCTTATGGTGTAACTCATAACTAACTAACTAACATAACTAACTAAGTGTAACTCTATGGTGTATAACAGGTCACTGGAAACAGGAGACCTACCAGAAAGTTGGAAGACAGCTAACGTAGTCCCAATATACAAGAAGGGTGACAGGCAAGAGGCACTGAACTACAGGCCAGTTTCCCTAACTCGTACACCATGCAAGGTGATGGAGAAGATCGTGAGGAAAAGGCTCGTAGAGCATCTGGAGGGAAATAACTTTGTAACGCACCACCAACATGGGTTCAGAGATGGTTAATCGTGCCTCACAGGTTTAATAGAATTCTATGACCAGGCAAGAAAAATTAGGCAGGAAAGAGAAGGGTGGGCCGACTGCATTTTCCTGGACTGCCAGAAAGCCTTTGACACAGTACCCCATAAAAGGCTGTTAAAAAAGTTGAAGCAATAGGCAGGAGTAAAAGGTAAGGTGTTCCAGTGGATAAGGGAGTACTTAAGCAACAGGAAACAGCGAGTAACGGTGAGGAGGGAGACATCAGAGTGGCGAGATGTCACCAGCGGATTCCCATAGGGCTCAGTACTTGGACCCATCCTGTTTCAACTATATGTAAACGATCTTCCGGAGGGTATAGACTCGTTCCTCTCAATGTTTGCTGATGATGCAAAAATTATGAGAAGAATCGAGACGGGTGAAGATAGACAGACTACAGGACGACCTGGACAAACTGCAGGGATGGTCTAGAAAATGGCTGCTAAAGTTCAACTCAGGAAAGTGTAAGGTAATGAAATTAGGCAAAGGGAGCAGGAAGCTGAACACAAGGTACCATCTGGGAGGTGAAATCCTGAAAGAGTCAAATAGAGAGAAAGATCTGGGGGTTGATATCACACCGAACCTGTCCCCAGAGGCCCATATCAAAAGGATATCATCAGCGGCATAAGCTAGACTGGCCAACATAAGAACTGTCTTTAGAAACTTGTGTAAGGAATCGTTCAGGACCCTGTATACCACTTATGTAAGACCAATCCAGGAGTATGCAGCTCCAGCCTGGAGTCCATACCTAGTTAAACACAAAACAAAGTTTGAGAAGATTCAGCGGTATGCCACCAGACTGGTCCCGGAACTGAGAGATATGAGCTACGAGGAAAGGCAAAGGGAGCTGAACCTCACGTCCCTGGAAGACAGAAGAGTAAGGGGAGACATGATAACCACCTACAAAATTCTCAGGGGGAAAAATTCTAAAATTCTCAGTTCCTTGGCCTATACTTAGATAAGAGACTCAACTTCAGCACCCACATACAACACACAACTAATAACGTCTCTAAAGCAGTTGGTATACTCTCTAAAATCAGATATTATGTAGTCTACTCTGCTCTCCTCTCACTATATTATGCATTTATCTATCCCTGTCTTATTTATGGTATCTGTGCATGAGGTTCAACCTCTGCAAACTGCCTCAAGCCCATCATCACCCAGCAAAAATCTACTATCAGAACAATAACAAACTCTGCTTTCAGACAACACACAGCCCCATGTTTAAATCCCTAAACATGCTAAACATAAACTCACTCCACACATTCTCTTGTGTCAATCACATTTACAAAACCCTGTTCTTAAACTCTCCCTGGACAGATGTAATAGGACCCATTATCACCACAACATAAATAAATATCTCTCTGATATCCCCAGAGTCAAACTTAATCTGTGTAAACACTCTATGCAAATAATGAGACCTAGTCTATGGAACTCACTCCCCTAATGAATTGAAAAAAATGTCCAATTGCCTTATTCAAAAACAAAAACAAAAATTACCCAATTTCATCTTCATAGTTTTCTACTATGTAGTGCTTAAAACTCTCACTGTATCTAGTGCTACCTAATCCTCCAATATATGTACCTAAGCCATCAACTTTACCATTGTGATCATTGCTGTCATCTTATATGTGCTATCAATATGCTTTATTGTGCCTAGTAATCTTTGTCAAATTATCAGTCAAGCTATCAATGCTATCAATGTGCCTTAATATACCTACTAATCTTTATTTAAATTTCCTTACAATGTACTTGTTAACATTTTATAAATTTTGCTAGAATTTACCTACTTAATATTATCTGTTAGATTAAGGACCTGCCCGAAACGCTGCGCGTACTAGAGGCTTTACAAGAATGTAAACACATCATGCTATGTACTCTCACAAACCCAATGTACCTTCTTGCATATATATAAATAAGTAAATAAATAAAATAAATTCAGAACCTTGTATAGCACATATGTAAGACCAATCCTGGAATATGCAGCTCCACATGGTGCCCGTACCTTGTGAAGCACAAGACGAAGCTTGAAAAAGTTCAGAGGTATGCCACTAGGCTAGTCCCAGAACTAAGAGACATTAGTTACGAGGAAAGGCTACGTGAAATGCACCTCACGACACTGGAAGACAGAAGAGTAAGTGAAGACATGATCACTACCTACAAAATTCTCAGAGGAAATGACAGGGTAGATAAAGATAAACTGTTTAACAAGGGCGGTACGTGAACAAGGGGACACAGGTGGAAACTGAGTACCCATATGAGCCACAGGGATGTTAGAAAGAACTTTTTCAGTGTCAGAGTAGTTAACAGACGGTAATGTTCATTGTCTAAATAAACAATCTACATTGGGCAGTGATGTGGTGGAGGCTGACTCCATACACAATTTCAAATGTAGATATGATAGAGCCCAATAGGCTCAGGAATCTGTACACCAGTTGATTGACAGTTGAGAGGCGGGACCAAAGAGCCAGAGCTCAACCCCCTCAACTCTGATGAGCCTGTCGGTCGCCCAGACGGGACCACCATGAACCCCTGGAAGAATGGTAGACAGTTGGTGTGGGACTACACTTGCGTTTCAACTTTAGCCAACACCAATGTTGACTTTAGTGCTGCACAGGCAGGAGGTGCTGCCAATCACCGGGAAGCGGCCAAGTCACGTAAATACAGAGACCTTGATCACCGCTACAATTTTGTCCCCATTGCCTCAGAGACACTTGGTGCCTGGGGTAAAAGTGCTGCTAATTTTTTGAAGAAGCTGGGGTCCAAGCTAATTGAAACAACTAGAGAACTTAGAGCCGCCAGTCTTCTCTTTCAGCGCCTTAGTGTGGCGATCCAGAGAGGAAATGCTCACTGCATCCATGGTTCCTGCCCGCCATCTGAGGAGCTGGAGGAGCTCTACAACCTGTGACAAGTAGTCTTGTACCCTGCATGTAACCAATGTTGTAACCCTTTTTTGTGTAATGAAATTTTAATTAAAATAAAGTTAGATATATATACACACACATACAAAAAGAATAGGTGGTGTTAGGAGAAGAAAATATCCAAGTGTCCAGTGAAGATCCACAAGGTCTTCTCTGAGTACTCTTTATTTTCTTCTCCGAGGCTATGGGACCCTACACTTGCACCAGATATATATATATATATATATATATATATATATATATATATATATATATATATATATATATATATATATATATATATATATATATATATATATATATATATATATATATTTTTAGGGGTACCACCACTGGTTTAATTAAAGGGACCCACATCCTCGAAGAAGAAAATAAATAGTGTTCAGAGAAGACCTTGTGGATTCTCACTGAATACTTTAATCTTTTCCTCTCCTACCACCCCTATTATTTATATATATATATATATATATATATATATATATATATATATATATATATATATATGTCGTACCTAATAGCCAGAACGCACTTCTCAGCCTACTATGCAAGGCCCGATTTGCCTAATAAGCCAAGTTTTCATGAATTAATGATTTTTCGACCACCTAACCTACCTAACCTAACCTAACCTAACTTTTTCGGCTACCTAACCGAACCTAACCTATAAAGATAGGTTAGGTTAGGTTAGGTAGGGTTGGTTAGGTTCGGTCATATATCTACGTTAATTTTAACTCCAATAATTATTTTTTTACCTCATACGTAATGAAAGGGGTAGCTTTATCATTTCATAAGAAAAAAATTAGAGAAAATATATTAATTCAGGAAAACTTGGCTTATTAGGCAAATCGGGCCTTGAATAGTAGGCTGAGAAGTGAGTTCTGGCTACTAGGTACGACATATATATATATATATATATATATATATATATATATATATATATATATATATATATATATATATATATATATATATATATATATATATATATATATATATAGCACTGTACTGTGTAATTATAATGAAGAGCTGGAGTGTACTCCATGTTCTTCCAGACCCATATTTCATTACTGTGTGTGTTAATGAGTCCACCACAACTAGCACTAGTGGCGTGAGGAGGGAGCCAGGAGCCAGGTGAGGGGCAGACAGTGGCCGCCATCACCCTCCTCCTCCACCTCCACATTACCCACAGGAAAAATTACTGCGTAGAATGATATTGAAATTCACTATGTCGAGGCTCATCTCCTTTGTCATTACTTTCTCCTCGCGGCCATTACGCTTGACGGGTTTTTATTATAAGCGTTTATTATCATAAAGGGGGAACATTTTCCACAGTAAGGAAATGTTTGGGGATTTTGAAGATAGGTGAGAGGGGAGGTGTGAGGTGGGGGGCTGGGAGCCGTATTAGGAGACAAATATGGCCTCGACGCCAAGTATGATGGCCACCAAACCTCTCCCTCTGGCCTCTTACGCCATTCCTAACAAAGCCATGTGGGGGGCGTTAGCCTCGCATTAAAAAAAAATTACATTTGAAAATATTCAAGGAATAGATCTAAAAATTTTCTAGGCAATTTTAAATTGAGAAAACTGAAATTTAAAGAGAAAATTTGGGGGAAAATCGAAGTGTGAGAGAGAGGAACTACTTTGTTTTTCGGAGGCGCGAGCGTGGCGGGACACGCCTGTGCCAACAGCTGATCGCAGGACAACAAACGAGAGGGAGCCTCGCAGGAACAATGACGGAGCCTGCCTCTACCTCCTCCTCCTCCTCCTCGGGAGCCCCGGCTCTCGCCGAGAAGCGCTGCGACGAGGCCAAAGAGGACGAGGTGGCCGCTAAGAAACCCCGACTCGAGACCTGTGACCGAGACGACACGGACAACAAGCTGGAAGCTCGTCTGGGAGGCATTTTGTGCTGCGCTGTCTGCCTCGACCTGCCTCGGTCAGCTGTGTATCAGGTCAGTGCGTTTTCTTTATGGGTGCTTCATGGCTGCTTATTTTCTGGAGTTATTGATGAATTTATCTGAAACATTGTGCCTTTTTTCCCATACAGTTTAGCATGATAGGATGACAATTGTTGTTGACCTTGTTGAAATACCAATAATAATGAATTTATATATATATATATGAAAGAATATAGTCATACTTATTTTGTGACATGAATCCAGTGGGGAAGTGTCTTTGTACTCAGTAAGTCATTAGGTTGGATCACCAAGGTAGGTAGTTTATATAATAGGAACTGGGATCTGATCTTATCTATACACATTTCTTTTTCAGAATAGTGGTTTAAAAGTTCATATTGATGCTTCAATTTAATAAATTACAAAAACTTTTTTGTTTGTTTGTATCTCGAGTTATATTTTATATATATACCGAGCTCAATAACAGGTTTATTAAAGTTAATGAATTGGCAAAGGGAGATAAATAATTTACTATATATCTTTGGCTTATTGTTTATACCTGTCTAATATTGTCATGAAAATATAGCAATCAAAGTAGTTATGGATAATGAATAATTTATGTAATAGAAGTGGTAAAGTTTGTAGTTATTTTTATCATTAAAAATCTTTCTTGGGGGGGAACTATAACAACTTTAGTATTTGCCTTTCAGCAATGACATCATACTGCAGTCATTCGATTCTTATTTATTAATAAATTTAGGTGAATTTTATCCTAATAAATGTTAGACCTGGAAGTTATGATTTAAAAATATTTTGTGTTTTAGCGTGATGTGGGGCTCATTGATTTTTCAGGATTGATTTAAACCTTTTATTAGTGTGTGCATGTTAACATAAATAAATATTGGTGTGTATTTGTTAAACACAGTATCGAAATACTGGGAGAGTTACCCCAAGTTCCATGTTCAAATAAATGTTTACATCATGTAATGAAACCTTACTTTATAGATTAAACTTAGTGAGACTTTGTTAATACAGTAGGATATGTAGCAAGTGTTGATTCTTATGGTTGTTATGGTAAAACATTAAACCATTGTAGTTGTCATAACAGTATCTTGCTAGGTAGTTAGTTTTGAACTGAACATTATCCAAATTTTGGTACTCAGAAAACAAAAAATTCACCTTGGAGTAAGCTGATAATTTTTAGGACTAATAAATATGTACCTGCTTGAATCTGTTTATGAGCTGATGTACCTGCCTTAAAGAATTTAGTGCCTTTAGTAATTAGTGAGATTATGTAGTAATGTTTTTTGAGTTGTTTGCTTCTGTATTTTTTTTTTTAATAATAAATGTATAAAATAAGAAAATTAGTCATAGATCAACTACAAATAAAAGTTTCAGATGAAATCTCGAAAGAAAGATTGCCCGGTATACTTTAGTGAAGTGATGAAGCAAGACGAGAGTATGATTGAATATTACATTGCTGGTAATGTTCTGATTTTACTTTAAAAAAATTATGAACTGAATTGTACTATTTGGCATATTAGTAACTAAATATTTTAATTCTTCAATTGACTTAATTGTTTTGGTATTTGAAAATAGAGAAATCCTTAAAAGATGAAGTGTAAGAAACATACAAACAAGCACACAGTACTTCCAGAACTTTTTGGGTGTACTTAGTCATAAATCTGAGGAATGTAAAGCATTCTCATAACATTATTAGCTTAGAGTTCAGTTTGTTGTCAAGTTCATTCATTATGGTCATATGCAGTACATCATAAACCAGGATAGAGCTCACTGTCGTCAGGTGTTTCATGTAATAACAATCTGCCTTGTATGAATTCTCTTTTTTAAATAAAATTTTTATAACAGCTTTGCTTTATTTTGAATAAATCCAAATGATATTTTATGGTAATTAAGAATCAGTCATATAGCATTTGGTAGGTATGCTCTGTGATACTTCAATGAGCAAATTCTTTGATGCCATCTAAGAATAAGGGATATTGTCCAAATGTAAGGTCAGACCTCGGAATATTGGATATCATTACTGGCACTCATATATTGTCAGAAAGAAGAGCGTAAATTTGTCATAATGTTATTTATCTTGTATAATTTAGTAATTCCTAAAATGGAGCCAAGATTCTTAAATACTGTGCTCTACTATATGTATTGTGTATTATAGTTGGAGAACAGCCACTTATATTTGAAAGGTATGACCCCAAAAAGCTATGAAGAGTGACTGACAGTACAGTATTTGTTTACATTCTTGAACAAATTTTGACCAGAAGCTTATTAATTTGTACAGGTGAATGAATTTGAATACTGTGCTTCATGCTTCCCTGGGGAAAACTTAGACATGCATTATCATACAGACTGCATATCATCATTTGCAAAGTCATCATCATCAATGGATGCCTAAAGTTTGTAATATACAATAATTGAATAAATAAAATATATATTTATTTTTATTTTTAACAAATCTTAATTTTCCTGAAGAGGATTGACTTTTAAGGCAAAAATATAAATGATTGTGAAAAGATTTATATATAATGGACAATAATTAAAAAGATTATTGATTAAAGATCAAAGTGCATTAAGTAAGGGGTCCTAATTATAAAGTACTGCATTGAAGTTGACTCTGGAAAAGGTCATCTCGTAATGTATCTCAGAATATTTCTTTCAGGTAATCAATGCGGAAGTCACGACTAGCCCATTACATATACAGTAGTAGTCTGAGCCTCTGGGCAAGTGGTAAAGTGCTTACTCTGGATAACCTGACTGGCCAAGATATTGCTTATTGTAGATATAATGGACTTCACCATAAGAAACTTGCAATGGTAACACACAGACACATTTATTTGGCCATTGCAGTATTCACTGAACTTGGCATTAAATGCAAATTAATAATTTTTTTTCCATGCAGATTTGATTGACATAAGTAAATGAAATGCTTATGTGGAAACAATTCATCTGAGCTTAAAATATATATATATATATATAATATATATATATATATATATATATATATATATATATATATATATATATATATATATATATATATATATATATATATATATATATATATATATATATATATAAAATAAAATAAAATACTGTATATATAGATACACATGAACATACACTCAACCACATCATATCCAACAGGACAAGGAACTGATGGCTGCTGTAATGTTTTGGGTACAAGTTATGTTTTCTTTCCCACCCACAATACGAAATAAATTATTTTGCTCACCCAAATTAAATATACAGTATAATCATTCTAAAGATCTTTCTACAGTTGCTGGAGTTGCATGTGGTATTTGCAGTCTCCGTGGTGTAGTGGTTAAGACGCTTGCCTGGCGTTTCACGAGCGCTTTGTCCTGGGTTCGTATCCTGGCCGGGGAGGATTTACTGGGCGCAAATCTTTAACTGTAGCCTCTGTTTAACTTGACAGTAAAATGGGTACCTGGTTGTTAAACGGTTTTTTGCTGGGTCGTATTCCAGGGAACATAGGATTAAGGACTTGCCCGAAACACTATGCGTACTAGTGGCTGTACAAGAATGAAAGAACTCTTGTATATATAAATAAATAGGTGACTTGAAAGTTCTTTTTTATACTATGGAATCTTGTAGTATGTGAAATGTAGTAATTCCACACACACACTACAATATATATGCAAATATATATCCCACTCATGAAACAAACAAACTTATCAGTTTGTCACATACTTTACATCATACTTCCCATAGAATTATGGAAGAATTTGTTCTCATATTAATAAACTTTTATTTTTATCTTAATTTAATAACTTGGATGGGTTGATGGATTCAAATATTGTACAGGAGGTCCCCTACTTATGAAAATTCACGTATATAATATGCAATGTATGAACATCTGATCTTACAAAGAACCTCCAAGGTCCAATTTTATGTTTATCTAAATATACAGATCAATTTTAGAGTCCCCACATTATGGACAATGTTACTAATTTAGTACAGTGTTTCAATTGTTTATCAAATTATTATTCTTTTAATGAATAAGATTAAGTGTACCAGTCATGCACCAGTGCCTAAACATCACTAGCTTCTTCTGGTGCCCCCTTTTAGTACATATATAATTGTACTGTATAATTCTTCAAAGAGCATCAGATCCTACAAGCAAGGACAATTACTTTATTTGACGTAAATGAAAATTAGTATTTTATAATATTTGTCCCAGAAATGGTTTATATTTTGATTTTTGAATACCTAGGAACACATTCCCCCATTTATTACAATGCACCTATGGAGAATTTGGTTCGGCATTAAGAATGGCTGACTTCAGAAGAACTTTTCAAAATGAATCCCATTCATAAGTTGGGGACTGCCTGTATACTTTCGTGAAACAGATCATACCACACCACAGAACCCTGCCATCTACCATAAATACACTTCATAAAACTAATCACACATGCCCGTGCTCATGTACTGTGACTTATCCATATTTACAAATTTATTTTAGTTTTGAAAACGCTCAAATACCCTGTTGTATTCTGGGTACTTTTATATACAGGGTGTACAATTAGTTGAGTGAATAGTATACACATACAGTAGTGTTATTTTGATGGGGCAAAACTTGAGAGGACCACCAAGGTTTTTGCCATTTCGCAATTATAATTTTGTTTATAACAAAACATACATTTGTGCATATACCAAATAATATATAAGCAATGGATTTTAAATATACTAGAAGGTAAAAGGAAGGGAAAAAATGAGTGAAACTGTCCTTTGCTTTCAGACATGCACGATAACCCCTGCAGTGTGCGTAACGCCTTAAGACGAGTGATGAAAAAAATGATTGAATTTAGCAATATTTTAATTAATTTTAGTGTGTTTTTCACTTTGTGATTTGAAATGACAGTTATTGATTTTGGCTATATTTTGGCATTTTCATGTTTTTACAAATTTTCAGTAATAATTCATTATTACTAAAAATTCACCATGATGATGTCACAGCTCAAAGAGCTAATAAGAACATAGCAGTTGGCTTAGATGAAGTTTCACCATGGGTTCTGAGA